GATCAGCCTCTATTTCAAGATAGATGGGCTGAATCCTCACGCCACCCATGGCGAACCGTTCATAGGAAACTTTCCAAGATTATTTAAATACATAGCGATGCCAATATGTTATAACTATGTGTAATATTAATATTTCGAAATGACCAAATTACAAGAAATCAGTCAAGAATGCAGATAGGAAAGAGTTAAAGAACTTATATTTAGTGGAATAATTTGTAATACATATAGTGGATATTAAGTACTTGAAGAAAACAGTTGACAGCTTTGCTCTTTTTAAAAGCCATCCATAGATGACACTTTTATTTTAACCATCAGTCGATAGAATTTACAAAATATTCTGCACTTAATCACAAGCTGACGCACTGTAATCCATTTCACATTAAAGGAGGGGTCTGATTCAAAATTTCTCCTTTAGAATTTGAACTCAAAATAGTTAAACAAGATAAAACGCTGGCAGCACCGATCAGCAGATAGCCAACATGGAGCAGATAACTCAAACAGTTCCGCATTCTGGTGTCTCAACAGAGAACACAAAACTTGATCACCTTTTTGAACCACAAGATGCGTTATATTTTCACTCCTGAAATCATAGGAGTATAGCTGAACTTTCTAAATAAATAAAAGAACAAATTTCACGACTGCGTCTTCTCCAAATTATTTTCTGGTTTAAGGATATTCAGCCACTGAATGTTTCCCACTTGAGTGTGCATTAGGGTGCACTTCCCTAAGTTTCTGGTTTGACGAAATTGCACTAAATGTGTTGATCTTTCACCAGTTTACAAATTCGCTTGCGGAGTGGTTTTCTAACTTTATGCTGTATTATGAAGATTGCTGAACATTAACAGACATCTTGGATCACTTTCTCAATTCTATATGATTTAATCCGAAAAATAGTTGCTCACAAAAGTAACAGTACTACATCGGCAAAGACCATCGCATTGTCCTAAAGGACTTTTTCATATTATTTTAATGCCTTTTTTATAAGAGCAGCTTCAACTGGGAAGAATCCAATGGAAACGATCCATTGAACTCCCGTAAGATAAATACTAAGCGCAACCAAACGATTAACACGAGAAGTGCCCCATCTTAACCCTACAAACCAACTGATAAATTGGGATTTGCTGTTTCAAGAAGTTTATCACATTCGAAACTGGACCAAAACATCAATAAATCAATTGCCATTTTCAAGGATATCACTCTAGACATAAATTCAGACAACAACGCTAATTAACTTTCAGTATCATTATACAACTTCAGATAGATGGCACAAAAGAATGAAGATGAAGTGCACTCAATGAAAATTGCACAAATATTACAAAATATGCACTGAGGAAGCACGAAGTTGCTGCAAACCAAATTTAATTCTGCGGTCACTGTAAAAAATGGAAAGCAACTAATGAAAGAGTCAGACGACAAAAGAAGTGAAGCATTATTCAAAGATTAATTCACTACTCTGGAGATATCCACCAAATTTGTCGAGTATGAGCAAAGATAAGTCAAGTTATCATATTCATCAGGTCGAAAATTCGCGGTAAATGATGTGTTGCTCAATAACAAAACTCTAAAAAGTAAATAGGACAATATAACACCTCTGGCAGACAATGAAAAAACAACGTTGACCGTATAGACTACATCATTAGAGCCCATGAAACACCAGGATAATAAATCGTATTCCAGCAACTCACGATAAATCTAATCATAACATTGCACAATCGTATAAAAAGGACGGCACACAAACTTGGGAAACCAATAAAGATCATTTAGTGAAATTATCGACAAAATGAAACCAAATGGGTTCTTTTTAACCAGGCTTTACAGAAAACATAAAGCATTAACTCTAGGTATCCGTCGCTGACCAATATTTTAACTGTCAGCACACACAGAGTGAAACCCAACCAAGAAACTCTACAGTGAACTGAAAGAAACCAAGCAAGGACTAGCGATTGTTACAAACACCTTCCCCAGAACCAAAACATGACGCTGAAGTAAGACATGGCCCATAGATTTACGTCTCTAGACTTACTTTTGATTTGTGGACGAAATATGTAACTAACATGAAATTAAACTCTACAGGCAATACGGACAACACTTTAACTATTATTAGAAAAATCAGTTTAAATATTGTTTGTAGCGAAATTAACGCTTAGTCGGCACCAAATTCACAAGAAATGAAGAATAAGAGAACAAAATTCAAGTTTCGCATATGTTGCTCAGGCTAAAACCCCATGGAAACTAAAAATGTTCAGTAAACAGAAAGTCATTTCACTCTAACCAAATCCTAAGAGGCAACAGCAACAATCAAGCGTCACTTGAAAGAGGCTGCGCACGAAGAGTATTTAGGAGTCAGAACATGTCACACCATTTCTGTCTTAGAAATGAAGGAGAAATGTCTCAAATCTGTTTCTACGAAAAATTAACATCCATGGAGCTTCATCAAAAGGTAACAATTCCCAAACTTACCGATCTATTTAAAATAATCCAGTGAGAATACATGGAAAATGATTTGGGGGTGTAGAAAAATGTGTGAACAGCACAAATTCAGAATACTTCTGAAAGAAAGTCATAGCCATCATTCCAGATGAAAAAAGTAAAAAAAAATACCACAGAATTCCTAGAAGAGTACTATGAGACTAGTGTCCATTTAGCAAACATGCTTATTTTGTCTAAGCCAGTCTGTCTAAACTTCAAAAGCCAATGAAATATTCGATAACTACTGAAATGAATGCAGTTCTAAGGAACCTTACGAGGACAAGCAATCCAAATCATGATCACGAAAAAAGAAAGATAAAGGTTTCATCGTGGAGAAATCCAAAAATGGTCGCTCAAAACTCAAGTTTAATCTAAACAAGTTGTATAGAAACACAGAGGAGGTATTGTAGCGAAACTATTCGGCTCTGAGAACATAACATACAGAACCGGTTAACTCACGGATCGGCTTCCAGTGGTTACCACCCGCGTTCATATTACTGAGGTTTTCACATAAACATTACATAGTTTCTAGAAATGACTACATATTTGCACTTACAAAGCTGGTTCACATACATGCCCAAATGTTCTTTACAGAGAATTTATTTTGCCAATAATGAAGTTAAGGTTACTTAGGGATCATGTGGAAATCCATAAAAGGAATGCAATGAATAAAACTGCTGTAAGTAAGGATACATTCTCTTTAAGGTGATTTTGAAGACACTTTGAGAATCTAACGACGATCCTGTAGTCTATTTCCCATATGCTCGAATTTTAATATTATCCTGCTGTTTATAAACGGGTTCATATTCCATTTTCACATATCATGTACATCTTGGCTCCACTGTGTAATCAACGAAATTGTCAACATTTCTGAGCATACTGTTTTCCTAGGGAAAAAGGCTGATGGGACACAAACCTTATGATTTTCAGTTATTTCACCGACCTTCTAAATTTTTCATTAATTGACAGCGAAGTCCATACAATCATCTGCCGAAAAAAGAACTGCCTGTCGATAGCTGTATTTTCGTGTACCACGAATGAGACAACCAATTGGTATATTTACTTGTGATTAGTCATTTTGTCATTAGAGCTGCTGTTATTTCAAACACCATTCGTCTGCTTGATGAGCTTCGCATTTTGGGGGAGTATTTGGTTCGGTCAGTTACATAGCTGACACTATATGTCATTAAAACACACGAAAAAATGTTATGACTGTGGATCCTTATGCTGGATTCACTGAATTCGTTCCACACTAAAGCCTAAGGACTTGGTAAGAGTGTCAGGAACCCATCGAAAGTACTGAAGAGGTAGTCAAACAGGCATCAAACATTCTAGTAAGTATTGTAATACATGTGGACACCATGTTTTTGGTAGAAATACACTGGGTCTCTATTCACTTTCAGAATTATTCTTGAGTTCATGTGGAATATCTACTTTTACATGGTATTTCAAACATAACCTCCTAAACTCTGTAGCTGATATCTTTCAAAAAGGCTGACATTCAGTCTTATCAGGTAAAATAAACGGAAGAATAACGATTAATATATTTATTAATGAATTAACGTGTTATATAAAACCAGTGACCCTGTGGAAATCATTGTCTTCAGCACCGAACGCCATGAATTCACTGAAATTAGTTACTACCATAAAAATAAAGTAAGGATTTAAAAGACATAGACATGGTTGCCAATATAAATACAGAATTTGTTAGTTAAAGTGCCAGGAAGTACAAAAATGCCTTAATTTGTATTGAGTTGTATCAGTCAACACTTTCTGATCAGAAAAAGTAGGAATAGAGTTTTTCTGTAAACATTAAGTCTACTCCGTAAAAACAGCCAAAACCATGTTCATAAAATTCTAGGATATTTGTGTAGATTTTCCTGAGAATGATGAAAGTAGAGTAGCTTTAAGAAAGCAGCAAAGACAGAGAGCAAATAAAGAGACACAATTAACAATATGAACGGGACTACCTCATCATGTCCATGTTAAATCCATAGAACTACAAATAAACATCACTATAAGACATAATAAAGTATGTCTCTGAGTAATTTGGCATTTTCCAAACGAAGTGGGGAACAAACTTACTGCCAGTAAAACTGCCGCAATTTACGAACACCGAAATGCACTATCTTTTCAGATTGACGTTAATATCAGTGCATTCAACAGGATTCCAGCTAGCGTACCATCAAAAACGTGTGTAACACAAAGAGTAGTCATTAAATTTTTTAACTTCACCGATAAAGTGTATAGACATCAGCTGATCAAATGACATGCAGCCATCTACAGGCTTGGAATAGAGGTAATTGTATAGAGAAGAATTCCTTATTAACCGAAGGAGTACATTTAGTCGGCGAAGATCTCGTCGCATATATTTGAGGATAGCCGTTTATTGCTTCCGATGACATTTAAAAGCACGTGATTCTTCCAAATAGCTACAGATGTTCCATTAAACTTATTGGTGAGCATTGAAGATTCAGTTGGACATATTGGATACCTGTATTTTGACGGCGCTAAAATATGAGTAAGTTTCTACAGTACGTTGGCAGCCTGTAGTAAGACGCTATAGTCAGTTTCAAGGTCATGATGGGTTCCTGCGTCGGCTGGTTATATGTTTTCGTGAATTCGTTTTCCATTGAATTATAAAGGTTTTTTCGGATTTTTTATGCATTTTGCAGTGTGTGGGTCAGTTTTTGTCACTGGATGCTTCTATTAAGCTTATTTTTAGCCTGAATTTCCCAGTTATTATATTGGTAGTTAAGGATTATGGTAAACCTGCAATGATTGAGCCAATTCACGTTTACTATGCTAATATAGTAACATTATTTAATAAGTAAACTTCTTAACTGTTCTGCCATTGTTTGACATTGAAACTGTGCCCTGGTTTTTCAGCATGAGTGGCACTAAATCAAAACTTACTGGGTTTGCTTATCAGCGTCGTTCCAGCCCTCACAGGACATATTAAGTGCGGACAAGTGTTACCTCAGAACGAAAAGACTTTATTCAGCTTCCAGCTATCCTTTAGGCACGACCAGCATTATTTCAGAACTTAGTGGTTAGATAAAATCTTCATTTACCTTAAAAGGCATTATCGAAGAATAGGTTAAAATAAGTTTAGAATTGTTGTGAGCCTGGATCCGGCAATAATTTACGACCAGTTTACAAATGGTTGAAATACGTAGTGTTTCGTTGAAAAAGACCAAATTACTTAACGACACAAGTTATAACGACTTTCAGTCGTGTTTTTGCAGTTCAAAGTATTAGACATAGACATGATGAGGTAGGCTAGTTCATATTAGTTTTTCTATCAGATGTATCACGCAGTGAAACAGTATTATTGACTGGATGGCGTTTCGAACAAAATTTATTGTTCATAATCATATCAATTATCATTACAAGACTTCGAAACTTGGGTTTTATAGTTTTCTTTGTTCTCCCCTATTTGTCGTAGGGGTAGTAGAATTTTCTAGATATCTGGGACAGGTGTTGAATCATTCCTATTACACGTATTTGCAGTTGATTCCATAAACAGAGCTTCTGTTATCAATCTCCCTCTATCCCGCTATATTAGATTTTAAAACTGTCATTTTATCCCATCCTATTGTATGGTTGTGTGTAACTGCATGTAGTGCTATAGCTGAACTATTCTCTAGATTTCTTATCTTATTTGGGTCAACTAATATAGATTTTGCTAGTTTTTTATGCTCGGTTAGTCTGACTGCCCTTGTACTACTACTTTGACCTATGTATTTGACCTCACAATCATTGCAGGGTATTAGATAAACTAAATTGTTTTGTTCTTAAGGTTACACAGGATCCTTAAACCGCAAAAGCTTGTTTCTAATTGAGTGTGTGGGTTTGAATGCCACTTTTATTCCTGCCTTGTTAAGAATTCTGCGTAAGGTTTCCGAGGTTCTTTCCTTGTATGGAAGTACTACTGATGATTTAGATTCCTTACTGTTGGTGTTATCATTATCCTGCGCATGCTGGACATGCATGTTGTCATTAATATCATTATTACTATTACTACACTGTCACTATAGTGAATATACTATTATTATTTGTTGTATTTTTACATTTCCCTACATACTTTCGGATTAATTTATCAAGGTAATTGTCAAGTTTCAAAGCTACTCTTATATACCTTACTTCTTGTCTTAGAATTTCTTAGGTACCACATAGATTTTGTGCCCTATTACTTAAACATTCACCAATCCTATTTTTACTGACACAGGATGGGATGACCAAAAATCCAAATATCTATTTAAATGTGTGGGTTTTTTGTAAACAATAGTGCTTAACTTCCCATTTTCTCTCCTTTCAACGCTACAATCTAACATTGGAAGCTCCCCTTCCTGACTTTCCAATTCATAAGTGAATTGAATTGCTTCCACCTTTGCGGTAATGTGTTCGAAAAATCTATTCATATTCTGTGTTCTGAGTACAGTGAATGTGTCATCTACATACCTCCACCATACTTTTGGGGTGGGGGTGAACGTTTCAATAGCTAAGTTTTCCAACCTATCCATGAATATATCTGCCACAACCGGGGATATTGGTGATCCCATGGCAACTCCCTCAGTTTGTCTGTATATTTTTCCCTGGAATTTAAATACTGTGGAAGTCGGGCATAGCTGCACTCTCACCATTATGTCCTCGATTGGCACTTTCGTTCTAAGTTCAAGTTCTTGGTCAGAAATGAGTTTGCTTCTGGCTGCCTCGATAGCACGTACGATGAATGTGTTAACTTAATTTACTTTCGTGCAACGTCTTACGTTACTAATTCGGTGCAGTTGGGTTAAATTTTCTGTTTCTATAACTATTATTGTGATATGTAGTGAATTGTACATTTCGTTATTTTTAACTGTCCTGTTTCTGTGAATTCCATAATTGTAACACAATACGGTGTTTATACTTCTTTGTATATAACTGTGAACATCCCTATGACAAATTAGTTGCTTAGAGGTTCTAGTGTATAATTTCAACGTAAAGACTGATGACCTAACCAAACTATCCAGGTTGAAGTAGGGGGAGCTAGACTACTGAAATCGAACCCTGTCTCTGTGGTTCTTCGTTAACTTAATTGAGTCAGGATTGCAATGTTTATCACTGTACTTATGTTGTACTTTCGGCAAGACTTAGTCTACCTTTATTCTGTAATTAACAGGTTTTATTGTAAAAACCTCGCCTTGTTTACAAGCTCGTTAGCTTTCTAGGCGGTACCAAGCCCGGTGAAAAGAGCAAGGGTTGGCTTTAGTTCTGACGATCCTACTCCAGAAAATCAACTCAACTGCTAGAGAAAGTTCAGTGCACAAGAAATATATTGAAAATACAAAATTATGAAGAACAAACTTATTCTTCGCTGGAATCGAAGAGGCGAAATGACGCCATCCGCTGGTGAAAGTCTTCGAGAAGCCAGTTAGCCTCCTGACGTGGAATGTCCGTACAATGTACGAGACTGGGAAGACTGCCCAGGTGGCCAAGCAAATGCGAAGATATGGCACAGAAGTGCTGGGTACTCGCGTAAGTAGATGGATTGGGCGTGGATTATCAAAATTGTCAACTGGAGAGTCAGTAATCTACTCCGGTCACCCAGATGACAACCACGAGCACACTGAGGCAGTGAATGGCTATCATGACGTCACCAGTAGCATACAAAGCCCTAATGCAGTGAAAACCAATTTCATCCTGCAGGATTATGACAGAAAGACTCAACTCAAAAGGACGGTAGACGGCAAAATGCTACAAACTACCCGGAACAAGAGACTAAGGAAGACTTTCACAGACACGTACAAGTACAAAGAGTAGTGGACATTATCATAAATGATGATATCAAAATCCTCATGGGCGATATGAATGACAACTGAACTGGGAGCAGAAAATACGCGAAAAGAACCCACCGTGGGTCGAGAGGCTCTCGCTCGGAGAAATGAATGAGGACGGGGAATTATTCGCAGACTTCTGCTCTTTCAATGATTTCTTGAAAATACTCTAAACTCTCATAGGCTTTTCAATCACGAATAGTTGTGCGTGTAATTGCATGGCGATTAAAGTTCTCACAAATTTTATTCTTACACTTTTAAATATCTACAATTTGGCCTATGTATAAAGCTGTATACGCGTAGTAATTCCTGAGCTTTTGAAATATCAAGTAGAGTACTTATACTGAAAAACATTCTTGGTGAATAATTTCACATGCTTATAGTGTATTGGTGTCCTTAGCTATCAATGAAATACTAGATTTAGATTGCATACAAACATCAAACCTGGAATCCTAACTTATTCTTAAATATGATGTAAAATGCGTTAGGTGAATTAATAGTATATGCAATATGCCAGCAACATCCTTCCTATTTAAAGTGGTTTAGGAAAATGAGGCGGCATATGTGCTCTTCTGTATGCAAGTAAGTCGAATGTCCGTGGTCGGGTATTTCAGAATCATAGATTTCTCTGTGATCACATGCAAATATACTTTATTCATTTGTGTATAATTGCTTGCTTATTTTATCAAATTACTTTGAATATCATCCTTTTGTGTTGTACTCCCACTTTTCCATTTTAGGGCAATAATTCGTGGGCACAAATGACTTTCAAGGAGAGCTATCTTGCAACATACAACGGAGTTCAGCTGATGGGGTTTGAATGACAGTTATAAAGATATACAGAAAACTTTTAGATGGGCATACATACTGTCGTTATACATTTCTGAGTCAATCTTTAGGAATAACTGGCTTAATCCTAGTGCCCAAGTAGATGTCCTGCTTCGTCTTTTTCAGTCACTAGCTATCGCTGAGGTTGGTTATTTCAATAAAATGTGGAGAATATTGTAGGTTATCCATGCGTCTATAGGATTGGTTAGATCTTCTGTCATCACAACTTTGATACAGATATCTTCTCGGTTGTTTATTGTCTGGGGTATCGTCTACCTCTTACCAGAGGTAAATTACTATATTACCAAATGTAATGATTTAGGTAACGCGAGAGAATTTTGGCATACCATTAATAATTATATCATGGTCCATTGCTGAAATGGTGCGGTACGCATACTATATGGCAGATATTTGCGGTGCAAAGTTTCGTCTTTTAACATGGTTAAGGTTAGAAAGATTCACAATACGTTTACTTCAACAGGTACTCAGCATTTATGGTTTTATATCCAACTGGGATTTCCGTAAGTCATAAAGATTTACTTCAAATTTCTTTTCCAGGGTGAAATTCTATTGGTATTAGGTGGGATAAAAAGTTTGAAAGAAAGTGGGAAATACGCAATTAATCTTCCAAACGCCTTAAATTGTTCCTTCAGTTATTTAATGGTTTTAGTAGTTGCACTCATAATCTACGTTCCAGGTACGTTGTGGCAATTATAGTGCTTATTATTTTGCAGGTTCTAAAATCATGTATACACATATGTTGCGTCAAAGGAAGAAAATATTATGGAAGAGGGACTAATCAGCCATTAGCATTATGAATGTCGAACGATCTGTGTTATCATCATATTGTTTTGCATACATAAATATATTACTTGTAATACTTACTAGCATTCATTGAAACTGCCAATATGCTAGAAACGACTATTATCATATTATTATTATCATATCAAGTCACTCACACAACTTGATATGATTATGAGCAATAGTTTATGCTCGAAACGTCATCAGTTAATATTAATGTATAACACTGTGTGATTAATCGAAATAAAATCTTATCTACAATGAAGTTATACTCTACCATAGTTTTATACTAATATCAATAAGGAAGAAATATTCTTATTGTTTTTGTAATTGTAGTTTTCGCTTATGGGTTTAAAGACAAGTGCTAAAAGTCCGAATCTTCCATCATCTTCAGAACAGCAGTACTAAGTATGGCTCACAACGTAGTATATAAACTTCATTTTTACCAAGTTTTGTTTGTCCTCTTTTTTTTACTAACAATATTTGAAATGATCGACTACGCCTAACTTCGAAAATTGTGGCGTTGTGGTTTAAACTATGAACAAATGACCAATACCTTAAACTGCAACTGAATTCTGTACCTAACTGCTTAACCCTAATTTATCACTTACCACTAATCAAACTTCTAGATAATACTCATCTTTAACTGAGGTTAAGAATGAAAACTGTTAAGCTCTCCAGAAGTCCGGCTTTATCGAGGGTAAGATTTCCTCCATCACTACAAAATGAATTTGGTTGCTAGTGGTTATACCGAAGGTAATGTCGAAGTTAGCGTCAGTAAACACATTTAGAACACTTGTTTTGAGAAGGCTAAAAGTTTAATAGCTCTGCAGGTATCAGAATTACTTACACTTAATCAATATGTATGATTGCACCGTAATGTGTGCTACCTATAAATAGATATAAGCAGTAAATCGGGTAACGTCTTCAGGTAAACATTGATAACTTTTGTGCCAGTGGAATATTCCCTGAAGAATAGACTCAAGAAGGTGGCAATACTGAGAAGAATCTAGTTAGAAACAAACAATGAAGCTATTTTTATCACTTACTGATTGTGCGGCCATTGTAAAGTTAGTGACCTTCATGATGTAAATTGCATTTTCTTATTGTAAGCGTTACTTCTAACCTAACTAGCCTTGTACACTTCAGTTGGTGTTCCTGCCTCTGACAGACATACCAAAACCACAGGTCCTAGGAGAGGGACACGTGAAAAAGTCTCTGTATGGGCCTGGATGATGTGCATAAGCAGAAAGCGAAACCAGTTGTCTGGGTAACCTGATAATAGGTGGAACGAAGGCCGCTTACGAAATTTTGTGTGTAAATGAAGCATAAATATCGTGGGAGAAGGTTGTTGGATGGTTGATTGAGAGCTAGACGAACAGGAGGAGTTGCAAAAATTTAGGAACCTACGGCTTACTGCAGATGGAGATTCACTGGTTTCGGTATTAACACTGAAAAATCTTCTGAAACCTGCGTTACCAACCTTAGATAAAGATTCTGAGGCGCAACTGCAACTTTCCGAATCTTCTTAATTTGAGGGTTGTGGGGCTGATAAAAAGAGGAGCTGTGTATGGAAGGACACTAATAAATAGGGTGACACAAAAGCAACCGTTTCACTGATAGATAAAGAACAGTATATGCGCTCATTGACAGTTCAGACCTTAGGGGGGCCATGTATTACACATTCTCGGTGTTTCAGAATATTTTGTAGGGATCGGAGAATCCAAAATACGGTACCCGGTTACTAAGACATCAAATATATGGCGAACAGTATTGAGGGCAGACATCTGCATAGTAGTGGGTGCATTGGCTGATATGAAGAATAGAAAAGTGAACACGAAATATAGACAATCAACGATTCGGTTGTTGATATAAGTATAAAACTTGGGCGCTGTGGTAGAGTATAACTTCATTGTAGATAAGATTTTATTTTGATTAATCACACAGTGTTATACATTAATATTAACTGATGACGCTTCGAGCACAAATTATTGCTCATAATCATATCAAGTTGTGTGAGTGACTTGATATGATTATGAGCAATAATTTGTGCTCGAAGCGTCATCAGTTAATATTAATGTATAACACTGTGTGATTAATCAAAATAAAATCTTATCTACAATGAAGTTGTACTATACCACAGCGCCCAAGTTTTATACTTATATCAATAAGGAAGGAATATTCTTGTTGTTTTTATAATTGTAGTTTTCGCTTATGGGTTTAAAGACAAGTGCTAAAAGTCCGAATCTTCCATCATCTTCAGAACAGCAGTACTAAGTATGGCTCACAACGTAGTATATAAACTTCATTTTTACCAAGTTTTGTTTGTCCTCTTTTTTTACTAACAATATTTGAAATGATCGACTACGCCTAACTTCGAAAATTGTGGCGTTGTGGTTTAAACTATGAACAAATGACCAATACCTTAAACTGCAACTGAATTCTGTACCTAACTACTTAACCCCAATTTATCACTTACCACTAATCAAACTTTTAGATAATACTCATCTTTAACTGAGGTTAAGAATGAAAACTGTTAAGCTCTCCAGAAGTCCGGCTTTATCGAGGGTAAGATTTCCTCCATCACTGCAAAATGAATTTGGTTGCTAGTGGTTATACCGAAGGTAATGTCGAAGTTAGCATCAGTCAACACATTTAGGACACTTGTTTTGAGAAGGCTAAAAGTTTAATAGCTTTGCAGGTATCAGAATTACTTAAACTTAATCAATATGTATGATTACATATTCACAAAACGTTGAATGGCGTGATAGTCGAAGAAGCCAGCCCAACGGGAAGCACATTTTGTTTCGAGTTCACAGAGCCGAACTAGAATTTTATGCACTGCCAATCTGAGTCGTTCACTTTTTGATCTTCACACGGTCCATTATCAGACAATGATAGAAAAAAAAAGCCTTTACTGCTGGACAGGAGCCATATTAGTTCAAACGAATGTTATTCGCATTGGCGTACACTTTATTTACGTTTAGATGAATAAATTTATTACTGAGGAATCTGAAGAACGTGGAGATGGTTTGATTGTATGTAGTGAAATAGAAAGCGAACATATAGACCATGCAGAGCCGTTCTGAAGCTTGTTGAACGATTAGGACTAGGTATTAGTAAGAATAAGTCACAGATAGCCAAAAGCAGTGTCGTCCTCCTGGGTCATAATGTAGGAAATAGAACCGTTACCCGAGTAGGTCCTGACGTCAATTTCTAAAAGGAAACTGAGCAGCATTTTACAGCCAGTTTGTCGAGATACTTCATGGCGAAATCTCTATAAGTTCCTAAGTAGTCCAAAGTTTATCTGGACTGAAGAGACACGGCAAAAGATTTTTTCCGATTGGAAAACTATGTGATCGCCACAGGACACTAATGCTGCCAATGCCTGAGATACGATTGATACTTTCCACAGCCGCAAGTGGTCATAGCATACGTAATCTACGGAGACAGTTGTGGGGTATGCTAGCTACTTTTGACAGTTGCGGAACGGAAGTATCCTGCTGTAGACAAATAGTGTTAAGGTGCTAGAAGAATGGATACCATATATGCTTGGCCTTCACGCCTCGACAGATTCTGGAACATAGACACACTTACCTGCGTCCAACACTTGCCATATTTCTTGATCTGAGGGTGACATTTGACTCTGTTGACTGCGAGGTGTTGTGACAATGTCTGTCACAATATGGCAAACTGATCAATGTACTGCACTCGAACTCACATTGCTGTGTAAGGGCTTACGAACAGTTATCAAACGATGCAGTGGCGTCCGTCATTGTTCTCATTTTTGTTCAGTTTCATCGTAAATGTACTATTGAATATTCTGCTAATCGACTTCGGGATTGACTTGTTAGCAGGGTACAGACCCGTCGGTTTACAGTATGCGGGTGCTATAGTCCTTCTAGGTGATGACACTAACGAAGTGGAGTCTCCTGAACATCTTGAGCAGAAATCTTAGTATGTTTGGTATGTAATTCGTCTCTGTCAAATGTAAAGTAATCCTGCAAAGCTGGCGTGCACAGGCTGCTAGCTTGAGGATAGGTAGTGAGATGGTTGGGTGTGTTGGCCCGTGCGCTTGGGAATTAACCTAGCTCTAATACACTGATTGTTGGTGAAATCTCACCTAAGATACGAAAGACAGGACTGGTGTTAGCCAACTTTACACATAACTGGGGTAGACGTTCTATCTGGTTGTACATCAATGGGTGTGTTTACTATAACGCAGTTGGCCTCATTCTTATTTACAGATGTGAGACTCTGTCGTTGAAAATGGAAGATATGAACCGTCTCTAACTATAAGTGTTAAAGTTAAGTACAAAGTGTTAGGTAAGACTGTGAGGGTGTGAATTTGCTTCGATTATAACTGCTAGAACGCGAGAAATTTTATTCCTTATAGTTTCATCGTATTCTACCATCCAGTCTGGAAATAATTTTGTCATTTTGTTCCTTGAACCTCGCCTAGATTACTAGCTCACTAGTTTTCTAGCCGGTCCCAAGCCCGGATAAAGAGGGAGGGTTGGGGCGTGGTGCTACCAACTCCACCCCCAAAACTTAACCAAATTGCTACAGAAACTTCAACGCACAAATATATTAAAAATTCTAAAAATATAAAAAATAACCTTATTTTTTGCTGGAATCGGGGAAGTGAAATGACGCAGGCTGGTAAAAGCCTTCGACAAGCCAGTCAGCCGATGTGCTTTCTTTCGATGAAAGCAAAAATAAGGATGGGGACGTGGAATATTCGTACAATGTACGAAACTGGAAAGGCTGCCCAGGTAGCCGCAGAAATGAGGAGATAGAAAATAGAAGTGTTGGGAATCTGCGAGAGCTGATGGAACGGATGTGGAAGTAGCCAACTACCAACTAGAGACAATAATCTACTCTGGTCAACCAGAGGACAATCACGAGCACACCGAGGGAGTAGCCATCAGGATGTCACCAACAGCAACCAAAGCTCTCATGCAGTGGGAACCAATCTCCTCCAGGATAATAACAACCAGGTTCAACTCAAAAGGAAGGAAGGTTACAATCATTCAATGCTATGCGCCTACGTCTCAGAACAAGAGAAGAAGGAGGATTTCTACAGACAACTAGAAGCAGTAATGGACAACGTACCAAATGGCGATGTCAAAATCCTGATGGGTGATATGAATGCGAAACTGGGATTAGACAATACAGGAAGAGAACTCACCATGGGTCGTGAGGCCCTCGGTGAAATGAACGACAATGGTGAACTCTTCTCAGACTTCTGCGCCT